TACTAAAGTACACTTTCTCAAGCGTTTTGCTACGGCAGCCCCGCTGCACTATATTCTAGCTTTGCATGGGTCAATTCCATAAAATATACCGATATTTTCATTTGTCACTTTCTCTTTATGCGCACTTATGTATTCTTACACAGTAGTTGCCATCATAACTATATATATATATGAATATGGATATTCCTAACTATACAAGTAGTATACACTTAATATGTATTTGTTATTTTTCAAATATCGGGTACAGTAAAACCTGTCTAAATCAAACATGTTGGGACTCGGGGACAGTGTTTAACTTAGAGAGGGTTTTAAATTAAACAGGTTTAATGTAGACAGGTTCTACTGTTTGGTGCCCAACATGGGTCCATATCCTTTGTTCAATTTAGAACGGGTTCTAAATTATACAGGTTTAATTTAGACAGGTTCTACTGTATATTGTTTTTAATTTTCTGTTTACCTGGTAGATTTTTTCAGTTCTCCCTGGTATCCAATACAATACAGTCAATTGTACGACATTCATATTACCATTGGTTTAATTGTGATATATTTATTAGTATCTGAGTATCGGCTTTCATGATGATTACTGAATTCTGAAAAAGAGGTGCTCGAGGGTCACATGTTTCGCTAGCCGCGCGCTAAACAAAAGAGACATTTTGATTACGAGAATAGTGAGATGTATTGCTTCAGTATTAGTCAAACAATAGTAAATCTAAATATATGTGGTATTGAAAAGCTGAAAAACCCACTTCAGTGTAACCTATCTGAGAGGCTCTTGGTTCCGCTACTGTAGGAGGCTACGTGCATGACGCAAACTTTGAGAGTGAAAGCTTCTTTTGCGCGAATTGCACGGCACCCCGTTCCACATTGGACTACTAACCTAACACAATGCGGTAACTAGCGGTTAGTTTTATTATATAGTTAACGCGTATGTTCTATAGTATCTCTAGCTCGATTTAGTATTAATTATAGCACTCTTCAACCCGGGCACAGTACAAATTACTCCGGAGGTTATCGGTTTGGTACCTTCTAGACGTAGTTTCCTATGCGCTTCGGTTTGTGCAAACTTTAAGACTTTTATGTGACGTTTGCAGCAATCCTGCAGCATCAATGTGTATATATCCTATACACATGACCAAGGTCGAATTGTACTCTCGAGTTCTAGATTTCTAGACCGACATTAAAGGGTAGCTCGTCATTCATTTAGCTGGAGGGTTGTACTATTTTGACCCTGATCAAGATATTATTTTGCTTAATTCAGCCGGAAGATATCTGAGTTTCTTCTTGATTTTTCTTGTGTGAGTCGCCATGGTCGGTAATCTTTAGCATGCAACCGAAGTTTCTTGCAAATATGAAATTTAATCCCGCAACAAACACCGTGATGACAAGAACCTTATACCACGCCGCCGCAGCGCTTAGCCGTTCATACAATTATGAGCCCGTCGAAGAAAATTATCTTATGAATCAATTTATTTTGTTAGAGAATATTCTTATCATAAGTATCTGTAAATACAAATGTCATATTTCTCAGATCTAACTGCATGTTTTTTCCTTGTATGATTTTTTATGCCTGGTCAGACTTCGAAAACGTTTGTGGTGGAAGCCCTACCCACACAAAGTTTCGTAGAGACGAGGTTATTGTTGACCACGCGCTAGTTTTTTTTTACACAGGAAACCTTTTCGCCGTAGGGTATAAAGTTGATGTCAACATTGCAGCTTCGGTATATATGAGTGTAAGACCATTTGTTACACTATCTACTTCATACCGTACCATGACATTTCTGGTCGTTGATTCAAAGATCAAGTCTGTAGCAACCAAACTCGAAGCATAAGCAAGTTCCTAAGTCACCACCAGACGTTGCACTGATTTCTGGAACTCCTAAGACTGATCGACGCTGGATCTTTTGCTCGACTTTCTTCATCAGAAGTGGATTTGCTTGAATGCGATGACAGAGGCCAAGATTACGACTGGACGCCAAAAAAGAGTAAACCACTTGTCCAAACAGACCTCCAGAAAGAACCCCGTGACCCTATTCATTGGCATAAGCATGTGAAAAAAAAAAAAA